CTGAAAAAATAAAAATTGGCCGTCGGGCCGAATCCCCACGTACTATTCATTAATTTATTAGGTATCCTTAATCCAGCCACGAAATTTCCTGATCTAAGATTTTGAAAAATACACAGAATGTTTTTGAAATATGAGGATTTTATATTTTTATTTCCCAATACCTAGGGTTGCCACCTCTCCGGGTTCTACCCGGAGTCTAAAGTCTGTTTTTTTTTTAAAAGATAAAAGTCAAAATGACATTATGTTGGCAATGCAATGTAAAATTTTCAATGCATTAAATTTTTTTTTCTACTGACGTTTCATAATAGCAACTTTTCGATTGTCATTTCAGTTTTGAAACGACATTCTTTTAGGCACTGAGTGCGTGAAAGTTACTTTTAGGCACTCAGTGCGTAAAAGTGACTTTTGAATGCGTAAAAGTGACTTATGAGTGCGTAAAAGTAATTTTTAAGCACTAGTGCCTAAAAGTGTCATTCATTATTCAGAAATAAAAAACACACTAAACACATATTTGAATTTTGTTTTGTATTTATTATGAATATTGAAAATGGAATTACTGAATTGAACGTTTGGGTTACTCAAAACAGAAGTTTGTGTTATTACCTACTTTCTAGGATTTTAATTATTGATGTCGAATTTTGAAAAGAAAATCGCATGAAAAGTGTCAGGTGTCAAGTAAAAGCAGGTAACAAAGATTTTGGGTGTAATCGACTTATTCACATGAAATAAAATTGTGTTTTTTTATTATAAAATGCCAGTAGAAAAAATCTTGTATACAATACGTTACGAAACGATGTCTTTTAGTCACTCGACGTGTTGTCCAACTCGGCTTTGCCTCGTTGGACAATTTTCACGTCGCGTGCCTAAAAGACGCTCATTTCGTAACTTATTGTATAAATAGCTATTTTCTACTGACGTTTCATAATAGCAACTTTTCGATTGTCATTTCAGTTTTGAAACGACATTCTTTTAGGCACTGAGTGCGTGAAAGTTACTTTTAGGCACTCAGTGCGTAAAAGTGACTTTTGAATGCGTAAAAGTGACTTATGAGTGCGTAAAAGTAATTTTTAAGCACTAGTGCCTAAAAGTGTCATTCATTATTCAGAAATAAAAAACACACTAAACACATATTTGAATTTTGTTTTGTATTTATTATGAATATTGAAAATGGAATTACTGAATTGAACGTTTGGGTTACTCAAAACAGAACTTTGTGTTATTACCTACTTTCTAGGATTTTAATTATTGATGTCGAATTTTCAAAAGAAAATCGCATGAAAAGTGTCAGGTGGCAAGCAGGTAACAAATATTTTGGGTGTAATCGACTTATTCACATGAAATAAAATTGTATTTTTTTATTATAAAATGCCAGTAGAAAAAATCTTGTATACAATACGTTACGAAACGATGTCTTTTAGTCACTCGACGTGTTGTCCAACTCGGCTTTGCCTCGTTGGACAATTTTCACGTCGCGTGCCTAAAAGACGCTCATTTCGTAACTTATTGTATAAATAGCTATTATGTAGAAAAGGCTTGTATGCCAACATAGTTACTAAATTTTTGACTTGGGGAATTATCTTTAAAAAAAAAACACACTTTACGGGTTTTCACATATGGTCTCCGGGCTCCGGATTACTAGATGTTTTCTCCGGGTAAAACCGCATTTAACAAAAGAAACGCATCTAACAAAAAAAAAACGTTAAAATAATTCATATGTCCAGGAAAAAAAAATAACATTTAGCAACAGCGCAATACTGTTCCTGCTCTCCCTCAAGGATATTACCAAAGTTTAATATTACCACAGTTTATTTCTGAATAATATAATAGGAAAAGAGGAAGATGCAAACGAGATCTGAAAAGGGATGTTTTAGAATGTTGCTTTCACTAAACCCAAGTATGCATAAAGCCAAAGTCAGCGGAATCATCGCCTGTGGTGCAAACACCATACGTCAAAGCAAGGAACGATACGCTGTCTACGTCATCACTGGTACTTTGGCGTGGTGCGGGCTTGAGATTTGATTTACAGAGCCCAGAGACTAAATGCGGCTATCCTATGGTTGTCCTATTCTGTGTTATGTAGTGTGTAACATCCTTGGATCTCCCTCTGCAACCGTCTCAACTCCCAACCTGGAGAATCATCCGGTGATACTGGGGGGACTTCTGTATAGAAAGAGTGTACCTAACTACCTAATGCATCTGTTATCAGATTTGTAGGATTCTTTTTTCAGTTTTCTTTTTTTAAATAAAGGTTTTTTTTCTCCGGTTCAACTTACTTTCAAAGGTGGCATCCCTACCAATACCCCTATTCTGTTCTATTCTATTCTCTCCTGAGGTGTGCGGACACCTGCACTGTAGCTCGTGGCTTATTGTGTCCCCCCAGGTACTTATTCTTGAAACAGGGGAGCGGAGTTCCCAGGAGAACCAGTGTTCCTTCTTTGGTACTTATTGTATTATCATTTGCATATCATTGAGAAAGATGGAATAACACTCGTTCTCCTGGGAACGCTGCTCCCCTGTTTCAAGAATAAGGACCCTGAAGTTTTCATATCAGGGTCTACTTCAATAGTAAAACCTAGAATGTCCCTGATATTCGCTTTTACGATTTCCTTTGGTTTCGGATACTGTGTCCCAAAGTACCGCTGTGTTTGCCATCTAAGGTTAGGACATTGACATCGAGTCTTCTGCTAGCTTCATTGTGTTGAGGTGTTTTCTGGACTGCTTGAGTCAGGAAGTTCCATCCAGAGTTTTTTGTGTTACCCCTATAAAATAATAGCAAAAAAAATTGAAACCAGTAGGTTTTTAAGCTGCGTGACCTTGAACTTTAAAAAAAATTGGCTGCGGCGCGATTCATTCACGCCAGCCCCCAAAATAAAATACTGATCTGGCAGGCCGGGCCGGTGCCAATGGTTTCCCGGGCCGGTTTTAGGCTCCCCATCCGCCACTGCGTAGAACATATACTAATACTTGTAGTAGTAGCAGATACTTCGTTTTTATTCATAAAAAAAGGTACAAGTGAAACACAAAATCCGGTTTTTTTCGACCACCCTATATTATACATTTTATATGTATAGATATTAGGTAGGCATATTTACTTCACAAAGAAGCATTTACTAATTTCCGGTAGTTTCGAAATGTAATATCTACTTTGTTTTAAAGTAAATACTACGTAGAACATACTAATATTTGAATTAGTAGCAGGTACTTCGTTTTTATTCATACCACCCAATAAGTACCAATACTTTATGAACAGGTAGATGAAAAGGCGTCGAATGTAAATATTGATTTACTGAAAATAAGATTAGTTTATGTTTGCTAAATAAAATTACTTTTATTTTAGTTTGTTCACAACCCACCTATATCCTGTTCTGCAGAATTTACCTGTACTCTTTTTTGACCATAATTTATTTTATTGCATCTTCCCAGTTTTCTTGGAAAGCAAACTTGGTTGCGATTTATTCGTCGAAAAAATTAACATATAATTTATGCAATTATTTACATTTTGTATTCATTTTTATTAGGTATACTTCAATAATTGACCATCAATGCCGCTTCTAGGTATAGGTGTGTTGTAAAGGTTAATTTTCATGGAAAGTAAATATAATTATTGATTATTCTTTCACGTCGCCGATAGTTTTCAGTATACAGGGTGTCCCAGGCAAAACAGTCCACCCCGATTTTTTCGATTTGAAATAAAAATCTGGAAAAACCCTCGGACAAGTCGATTTTTGATTTGAGGGTGAAATATTTTTCAGTTTTTTTCATCCCCGTAGCTTCAACCCCCTAGCTAGGGGGAGAACAACCATGCACCCAAACTTGAATAGTATCTCTTTTTGAAGGTCTCATTGAATTCTTTATGATTCTAGAATTTCGTCTAATTATTTTTATTCGTTACGAAATGACAGCTTGTTATAATCTTGGGAATAGACTATTGTTTTAGTAGGAGTAAAAAGGTACTTATTTCCCTTAATAAAAATACTCACAATTAATCATAATAATAAAAAAACTTCAATTTCCAGTATTTTTATCAAGGGAGAGGTAAGTATCAATTTTACTCCGACTAAAACAATAGTCTATTTCCAATATTTTCACAAGCTGTCATTTCGTTACGGATGAAAATAATAAGACGAAAATCTAGGGCCATAAAGAACTCGATGAGACCTTTAAGAAGAGGTATGACATGACCCCTATCCCCTATTCAAATTTGGGGGGTGTTCTCCCCCTAGCTAGGGGGTTGAAGCTACGGGGATGAAAAAAACTGAAGAAAAGTTCCACAGATTTTCATTTCAAATCCAATAAATCGGGGACTCTTTTCCCTGGGACACCCTATAGTAATAAGTGCTTGTGCAATTACTAAAAATCATGCATAAAGGTTGGTTGTTTGAATACACTTTGAAATCGCATTGAACAAAATCGCATTGAATAACAGTTTGGAATGTAGAGCATACTAACAGCGATTTCCATTTGTCGAACCAGTGCAAAAAAAATGTATCCTTATCCTTACATGTTATATGCTTTTAGAAAAAGATGCGGATACACTCAGTGCGCACTGACTGACAAATGGAAATCGCTATAAAGCTTCGAGCTCAATAATTTTAAATATTTGTTACCTTTTTTTCTAATCCACTTATCAAAGGTGACGCTGTCACCTAGGAATGTGTTAACCTTTAATAAGGTAATCTTACTTAGCCAATTACATTTTTATTATTTTATTACCTAAACATTGATACAATGGGTGGTATGAATAAAAACGAAGTACGTGCTACTACTACAAGTATAAGTATATTCTTCGCAGTATTTACTTCACAAAGAAGCATTTACTAATTTCCGGTAATTTCGAAATGTAATATCTACTTTGTTTTAAAGTAAATACTACGTAGAACATACTAACATTTGAAGTAGTAGCAGGTACTTCGTTTTTATTTATACCACCCAATAAGTACCAATACTTTATGAACAGGTAGATGAATACGTAAAATTTCTTACCTGACCTGTGACATTTTATATAAATAGTGCTGATTAAATGAAATCTAGTCACTTTCAAATCGACTTCTCTGAGAAGAGCACCTGATTATTATTTTCAAAACAATATAAGAATAATCCAAAATGGAGAACATTAACTGTTACACACAATTTAATTTGCCAATTGAAGCGGAAGCCTATTCTCCATACCATCGACAGCAGCAGCACTTTCTTATGGAGCAAATGATGTGCCTTCAAGTACCATACGAAGCGTATCAAAATTTCCAAGGGAACCAGCAAGGCTATAATGATGGGACTCATAATACTAACTTAGAGCAAGCCCGTTTGTACTTCCACGAACAAAAAGAAGTTGATGATTCCAAATTTGAAAAAATACAGAGACTATCATCTTCAGTCGTGGATCCTGACAAAGAAGCAACCGACGATCACAAGTATGAAGCGTTCAGAAAACATTTAAATGAGAACTTGAGGTATTTTAATTTAAATGGGCTGCAAGCTAAGGGTTTCTTTTTGAGTGGTAATGTCTCCAAAAAAACTAAACGTTTTCAAGAGTCTCGCTCAACTTAGTTTGCCGCAATGTATTATTACATACTTGTAAATTTATTACCAGCAACTGTGATTCTGACCAATTTGTTTGTAACAAAGTGATGTAGCATTAGACTTTTTTGACTGATTATTTTTTAAATAAATTATTATTTTCTACAAACGTGTTAAAAATGCAATTTTTAACACCCCCCCGTAGCATTAAAAATGTTACTTTATCGCACTAGTGCCATAAAGTCTTTATAGCACTAGTGTTAAAAATGAAACATCAAATTTTAAGAGCGAACGTCAAAAAAAGTTTGTATTTTTTGTTATTTACATTGATATGAATGGTGAAATTTGAACAACTGAGGTAGCCCGATTGGTCGCCTCATCTATATTTTTCAAGGGATCGATGCAACCCTCTTTTTCTTCTGTATTTTGTTGCATTTTTAGCAAAAAGCATTACTGACCATGACAGACTGTGATGACAGACTTTCAAGAAACTGACAAGACATTTCATTACCTGTAAAACAAGGTGCTGGTTGTTTTGGATTTTTTGACAAATGTCAAATTCAATAATTTTTTTTAGGAAAGATGCTTCCAATTTATTATTCATTCTAAAAATTCAATTTGTTACTGGTTAATGCCGTTTGTAGAAAAAATATTGTATGTTATTTGTGTTAAAAGTATTTTTAAGGCACTTATGTGAATTGCAAACTTTCACATGCGTGCCTTAAAAATGTACTTTTAGCACTTACATCATAAATAACTATTATTTGTTATAAGAACGTCCCTAAAATCTGTTTTTTATTTAAAGATAAAAGTCAAAATGACATTATGTTGGCAATACAATGTAAAATTGTCAATGCTTTCAAATTTTTTGTGTGGAAAAGGCTTGTGTTGCCAACATAGTTACTAAATTTTTGACTTGGGGAATTATCTTTAAAAAAAAAACAGACTTTATTTTTTTTCATTTTGCCTTATTTTCGGTGATTGGGAATACAGTGGATTTTTGAGGTAAGTATTGTTCAATCGGCAACCATTGTCAGTTACCATTAGTGGAGACAAGTTAAAGTGGAGAGAAATTAGTTCGTTTTCTGTTACTTTTTTAAAAATAGTGAATATGGCATGCCTATAAGATCATTTCTTGGCATCCTGGTCAAAAAAAAATAAAATTAGTTTCGTTGAAGTGCGTTTTACTTACCCCGAGATAAAAATGCATTTAATTAGACTATCCCAAACACGTGACACAAATATGGCCGACAAGAGGCACACAAACATTTGACACAAACACAAACCATAACGTCATTAGGTTATGTCATTAATGATCATAATCAAATACTCATTTCATATTGTGTGCGTCTCAATTTTTGGCCGTTTCTACCCAATTACGGAATCCCTATTGTTTGGGCAAGATTGCTCTACCTACATTTCACTTGGACACCCAGGACCTACCCTTTAAATGTGAAAATATTTATTTGTTACAACTCCACCGTCCAGTGTTGTGCTATCTACTTTAAATAATGGATACAGGAGCATCTACAGAAAGACGATGAAACAGGCAAGGAAGATTAATTACAATGAGAGGTTGGGCATCCGCATCCAATAAACAAAAAGAGTAACGACCTACGCGAAAAAAAAAAAAAGAAATATACATATGTGCTTCCAATTTGAAAGCAGTTAATATTAATTCATACTACCTACTGTACGATTGCTCAGAAACTGAGTATCAAAAATAGAAAATCTTCTGGATGGGACGATATCTCAGTTAGGCTGTTGATGTGTTGGCGGATTCCATTATTAATTCTTTTCTTACCGGAAATTTTCCCTCATTTTTGAAGCAATCTTGGGTAGTACCTTTGTTTAATAGGGGGGTGATAAGAATTTACCATCTTATTACCGGCCAATATCCTTACTGGCAACTTAGACTAAAATTGTAGAGTGGCTAATTAAGGTGGATGGTGAGCTTCCTTGATAGACATAAATTGCTTTCTCTGTCTTTGTTTCAGCAGTCAAAAAACACTGATGATGCCATATTTCATCTCCTGGATGAGCTGTATTAGAAGATAAATGACGAAGAAGTGGCCGCGGTAGTTTTTTGTGACGTGAAAAAAGCTTTCGATTGTGTCTGTCATGAAGTACTGCTTCTAGGGGTTCAGTACTTCAGAGGGGTTGGATATCACTGCAGAAGTGACCTAGGGATCTGTTCTATTTCTAACATTAATAAAAATACGAGTAAAAAGAACGAGTATCAAAATGCAAATGAACAATGAGCACCATTTTTTCTGAAAAAAATTTCATGACACATTGAATGACATAAAAAAAGGGTTTGTGTGCCTCTTGGCGGCCATTTTAATTCAAGTTTGACAGCATCTTGGATAGTTCAATTAACACATACAGGGTGTCCAGAGGAATAAATGCAACAAATTTGGTTCAAAGATTCTTCAAAAAAAAATAAAAATAGGTGACCTGTAATTTTTATTTGTAAAAAATGGCCCCCTCTTTCGGAGTTACTGACCCCTAAAATTAGCCTCTAAGAATAGAATAGGTTTTTTTTTTATTTCTCAGAACCCTGTTGTACGAGAATTACTATTTCGAACATTTGGTACACATCAAGGGTTTTATGACATGAAGAATTGGATCGAGCTACGCTTTTAGGCGGAGGACCCTTCTAAGGCACTTTTTCGTATGCTCCATATCATGGGAAGCTCAAAAATTTGGATGCCTACTTATCTATTTGAATTTTTCAAAAAATAATGATCTATGCGTAGTACCTGTCAAGATTCCTATGAAATTGTACCTGTTAATCGTATATATATATAATTAACGTTCTACGTCTTCCGATTCCCGATCTCCAACCATCTCTGTCAATCCAGGCATCCTCTTCTAGGCCTCTGTCTTTCATTTCCTCGTCGACTCCCCTTCTCCAGCTTCTTCTTGGTCTGCCGCGTCTTCTTCTTCCATCTGGCTTCCACTCGATTATTTGCTTGGGTATTCTTGTATCTGCCATTCTTTGTACATGTCCGAACCAAATCAGCTGTTTGTTTTTTATATCATCTATTATTGTGTTTTACGTCCATAATCTCCCTAATTCTCAGATTTGCTATCCTCTCCATTTTTGACCTGCCTGCCGATCTCCTCCAAAAGTCCATTTCAGTTGCTTCCAGCATTTTTGCGGTTCTGATCTTTAGTGGCCAGACTTCTGAACTATACGTGACTATGCTTTTGACTATGGTGTTGTATATTCTCGTTTTGTTAGTTTTGTTGATATTTTGATCCCACAGTACACCATTTAGTAGGGATATTGCCTTGCGCCCTTGTATGTTCCTATCTTTAATTGCTTCGTCTAGGGTTCCCTCGTGTGAGATTTTCATGCCCAAATATTTGTATTCAGAACATTGTTTTATTTCTTGTCCGTTATTCAATTTCAGATTTCGTTGTTCACCTCCTACAGTCATATATTCTGTTTTCGTTAAATTTACTTCCAAACCCCATTTCTCGTATTCCTCTATAAATTTTCGTGTCATGTACTCTAGGTCATCATAGTCCTGTGCAATTAATACTTGATCATCTGCAAAGCTTAAAGTATAAAGATTGTATTCATTGAGCGGTATTCCCATGTGTCTGCATTTGTTTTTCCACCCTTTGAGCGCTTGTTCTAAGTATATTTTAAAAAGTGTTGGTGATATGCAGCATCCCTGTTTAAGTCCTTTAGTTGCTATAAAGCCTTTACTGATTAAGTTTCCCTGTTTAATTTTAGTCTTTGCATCACTATAGAGCGTTTTTACTGCCTTTATTAGTTCTAAGTTGATATTGGTCTTTTCCAGTGCTTCCCAAAGCTTTTTCAGCGGAACATTGTCGTATGCTTTCTTTAGATCGACAAAAAGTGAATGGAGTTCTTGGTTATAGGCTAGTTTCTTTTCCATTACCTGGGTCAAACTGAATAAATGGTCTACAGTTGATCTTCCTGCTCTAAAACCGGCCTGTTCTTCTGCCTCACTATCTTTGTACTCGTTCTCTATTCTGGCTTTTATGAGTTTTCCATACAATCTGCTCAGCGTATTTGTTGCTGCAATTCCTCGGTGGTTCTCCCATTTGTTTCTGTCTCCTTTCTTATATATCGTTGTTAAATAGCTTATTTTCCACTCTTCCGGTACTTCTTGTTTATCTATGCATGTTTGAAATAGTTTTGTTAAATGTTTGTAGAGTTTATTGGTCCCGCACTTTATCAGTTCTCCATATATTTCTCCTGGGCCTGGTGCCCTACCATTTTTCAGGAAGCCGCAGTGTTTTTTAACTTCTTCTTGCATAACTCGTATTGGTGATCCTGCAGTTTTTATGTTTCGTGTCTGTTCCATTTCTTCTTTAAACTCTGCCCGTTGTTCTGTCAGTAATTCTTCAAAGTACTCTTCCCATTGCTGGGGTGTTATTGTATTGATAATATCCTTGGTTTGTGTTTTTCTCATGTTTTTGAGTAATCTCCAACTTTCTGTGTTTCTTTTACCCCCCAGATAAGTATTAATATGCGCACAGTTTCTTTCCCATGACTCGTTCTTTTTGTGTACTATTTTATACCGTACTCTTGCTTGTGCTTCTTTATGTATTTCTTTGTCTCGTGTCTTATTTGAACTTAGATACTGTTGGTATTTCTTCCTTTTATCTTCTATGTCTTTTTCTATTTCTTGATCCCACCAATAAGGTGTGGGCCTACTTCCCTTTTTTTCATATTTGCCAAGGGCTTCAAATGCTGCACTGTGAATACTGTCTTTGATATGTTGGTAATGCATTTCAAGGTTTTGGAAGCTCATACTACTCTGTAATTTTTTATCTAATCTCTTCATGTACAACCCTTTTACGCTTTGCTCTTCTAGAGATTTTAGGTTGTATTTCTCAGGCACAATATTGTCTTCTTGGGTTTTCATTCCGTTTACTTTGGCGATGTTTCTGCCCGGTATAAAGATTTTTGTTTTTAGGAGGTAATGATCGCTACCACAGGTCGCTCCCCTATATGCTCTGACATCCTGGAATTTTATGTTCGAGCT